CAGGAAACAAAGCACAATGAAGAATATAGTTCAGGGGCTGGAGAGATAGCTCAGCAATTAAGAGCACTGACTGCTTGTGCAGAGGACCCGGGTTTGATTCCTGAACCTACGTGATGGCTAACAACCATCCCTAACTCTGTTCCAGAGTAATCTGACACCTTCTTCTGACCTCCATGAGCACTGCATGACATGGGTGCACGTACTTACATACATGCAGGCAATATACTCATACACATAAAATAAAAATAATAAAATTTAAAAAGTATATTTCAACTTGTAAAATGTGACATTTTAAGATGAATTTATAACTATATAAATTTTTTAAAGTAGTTTTTAATAACCACATGATTGGAAGAAGCATTTCATTATAATATTAACATATTCAGTAACAGTTTCCAGAGCAAAGATGCATCTTTTTTAAAAGTGGCTGTAAATTTTTAGGTTCACAGTTGAATTAATACAGTTATTGCTAACAGGCCCAAGGACATGTTGACTTTTAGCCAAGAAACTGGCTACTTTTCTTTGGGGGCTTTTTACCTAAGTGCCAAGCCAATTCTTACCGCCTATTCTTATCACGCCATCCTCTGAAGGGGTTACCCAAATTGCCAATAGAGAATCAGGACGCAGACCGCAGACTGCTCTTCCATGCTGAACAGGGATGCGGGGTGAGGCAATTGGAGCAGTTAGGGTAAAAAGACCCCAAATAAATGTAGCCAGATTCTTGGCTAAAAGTCAAAATGTCCCTGGGCCTGTTAGCAACATACTCTGTTCCAAAGGCCAAAAATGTCAAAAGTATATGGGAGGTTCTATCTAATCCTTAAAAGATTTTAGGGTAACCTCTTCAGAGGGGGCAGTGTTGGAGGGGAGGGAGTGGGCATGGCAGTTAGGGTAAAAAGACCCCAAATAAATGTAGCCAGATTCTTGGCTAAAAGTCAAAATGTCCCTGGGCCTGTTAGCAACATACTCTGTTCCAAAGGCCAAAAATGTCAAAAGTATATGGGAGGTTCTATCTAATCCTTAAAAGATTTTAGGGTAACCTCTTCAGAGGGGGCAGTGTTGGAGGGGAGGGAGTGGGCATGGATTTGATCAAAACACCTTATATGCATGTATGAAATTCTCAATAAAATTTTTGTAAAAGTTAAAAAAAAGATTTCCATTTCCATTTCATTTTAAAATATAGTTTCTTACAGAAAAACTCATTTTTAACACTACTAACACTAAGATGGTTGCACATGCTTCTCCAATCTCTATGTATCTGATTATTACTAGCCACATTTGGATTCTTGGCACCTGAGTATGGCTATAAAGTCATCAGGTAGATTTCAGTGGTAATGTTTTTCACATCTACTAATTAACATGAAACAAATTTTTTTGTTTCTTCCTCAAATATAATTCATTTTTTATTTGTTGATTTTTTTGTGTGTATATCATATAGAACATCTCAAACAACCTTATTCATTTATATCCCCACTTCCCAAATCTCACCCTCCCATAGCCTCCCCCCACCCCCCACTGGAGCCCATATACTCTGTCATCCCTGTTACTGTCCACTGTGTTGTCAGTGCCCCCAGCTGTTGCCCCAGTGCTTGTCCATCCGCTGAATCTAGTCAGCCTATCTAGAAGTCCTTGTTTTAGGAAGATCAGCTCTTATCTAGCAGCAATCAGTTGCCAACATTCCTTTAGATGAGATTGGGGTCTGCTGTTCATTTTCCAAGTTCTATGCTGAGTTACTGTCTGGGAGTCTCTTGGGCCCCCTGACCAGCAACTCAAAGGAAGGAATCATCTGTCTGGCATTGTTTCTTGTTATGTAGCCTTTAGCTATACACATGGACTCTTAAAGAATTATAATATGTATATTTGTCATCAGGTTGTTGGACAAATATGATTCCCTCTACGTTATTACACTAGTTGGGCATTATTTATCTCTCCTCTCTCTTTTCCTGTCTGACCCTTTCACCATGGCTTCCCTACTGAAAGTGTCCCAGTTTCCCCCATTTCTCCCTGGATAATACCAGTCTCCCTCTTTGTAGACTGGACACTGGTTCAAGTCCATCTCGTGGGGTCTCCATGGCCTCCCTGAACAAGAGGAGAGGTGACTCACCACAGTTATAGGACATTTTGAGAGATGCTCATAGTCCCCTGGAACTTATTCGACCTAGGAGGGCAAGGAGCAAAAAGTGTCCTTTATGTCCCTCTGACCAAATTAGTATAGACCTCAAAGTATGTCTGTTAAAGATCCAAGGAGGTTAGTTCCACCAGTCTGGTACTTTTAATTACTATGTGCCATGTAGATAAAGCTTGGGCAAATTTTGACTATAAACTAATTTGTGAGTTTCAGCGTTTTCATAATTATTTGTATTTTATTAGTCAAGTCTTATTTGAGGATTAAATTTCTCCATTATTTTGAAGATAAAAATTATTTAGATTATATAGCTTTTAAATGTTTTGAATAGATACACACTTTTACATACACTTAAGAACGTGCATGCGTGTGACTTTAAAGGATCCTTGTGGCTAAATGAAAGTAGAATTAATTCGTGAGCTGGGAATTATCAGTTCACACAACCTTGTCTTTTCAGCAGCTCATTTCCCAAGAAAGCAAATTTTGTACAAAGCCAAAATAAAAATGTAGTATTCTTTTTAAATTCACTCTAAAAGAAATAAAATCTGTAATGCATCAGTCACTCAGAGCACATCCTTGGTCCTGGGGGACCCAGGGGCTGTGTTGATTTTGCGTTTGTGTGATGTCCAGCCCATGTGTAAATTAGCTCTAGAAGGATTAATATCTGTCTTCTACAAGAGCTGTTTTCCTGAGAGCAGATATTCACAATCAATGCTTTTGTAACTTTGTAAAATATTCGAAGCTTTCTCTTCTGGCTATTTTTAAAAATATTTTATGTGTATAAGTGTATTGCCTGCATTTGTGTAAGTGTGCTCATTGTGCAATGCCCATGGAGTCCAGAAGAGGGCATTGGATCCCCAAGAACTGGAATTGAGGACCACCATTAGCCAACTTGTGGGTGCTGGGAACCAAACCCAAGTTCTCTGCAAGAGCAGCCAATGCTCTTAACCGCTGCGCCATCTCTCCAGCCCTTCTCATTATTTTTTATTCTAAATATTATTGGAAAATATTTTAGGAAAATATCAAGGAGTTTATTAGTAAAAGTTAAAAAGAAAATGAAGAGAGGTGTCAAAATTGATAGACCAATAATTTTCCTAAATTTATTATTTTAAGCAAATATATGAACACAGTGATAAAAAAAATAAACTTCTATTTTATTTCTATTAAAAATATCTTGTCTTAACTAAACACATTGTGTGAAAATATTGACATATGGTAATGACTCAACATATGTTGAAACTTAGCTTTATTTTTTAAGCTATAAATTTCAAAGTAATTTAACAAGATATTTTAATTTGCTATATATTTTTATTTCTCAGATTTTGCTTTTTCTAAATGTCCCTTTCATTTGGAACCAGCATCCGGTACTTGTTCCATTAATACTGTATTTCCTTTGGTTTTATTTATTAAAAATTTGGGTTTTCTCTTGCTTGCTGTGTTATGTTGTGTTTCCGCTGAGATGTTTTTATATTCCTTTCATGCTGATTTTCCCAGTTAGGTAATTACAAGCTCTTAGGTTCATATTTCAAAGGAAACAACCTGCTAAGCCTGTGGGGGCTTTGTGACAGAGCACTGCCCAATGCTACAACCTTGTAACCCGAACATTCCCAAAAGGTGCAAGTTGAGCTCATTTCTCTGGAAACTACATTTTTTAGGAAGATACAATCTTTTTCTTTAATGTTAGCTTCCATTTCATTTAGATGTGCAGAAGAAAAGCGATGTGAGCAGACAGGGTCAAATGCTGCTCTGTCTAGAGCGTCACCCCGCCCTCCCGGTCTGCGCTCTTATGGACCCGGCTCGAATGGAGGATGCGGACCAGAGGTTGTTTTCCTCCAGACAGATTCTCAGTCTTTATCCCTCCATCTTACCTCCTGCCCGACCTCCCCAGACTTCTGCAGAGGAAACTGCTTTACTCTTCCTGGCAGCACTCTTGAGGACACATGATAACCTCCATTTTGTGTGTGTGTGATGTCCAGCCCTGTCCAGTCCCTGTCAGCTACAAATCTGCAGTTCTCGTCCACCCGCCATTTTCATCTTTTATCTCATGTGGCTTTATGACATTTTTTTGCTCCTTGATTCTTTTTAGCAAGTTCTGGGGAGGATTCGGCGGGTGGTTTACCAGGAAGCAAACCACCAGCTTACACTAAAGGCATCCCAGTGGTGGGTGCTGTGTGAGAGTCTGTGGATTTCAAAAGCTTGGTCTTTGATGTAGGTCCACTAATGCCTAACAGTCCTCCGAGAGGGTCAGTGACACCGGGGGACGCAGCGAGATTCTTCTCTAGCCTCTAGGCTTTGCTTCAGCGGGTTACTGGTCACTCCTCCTCCACAACCTCCATGCTAAATGCTTTAGGGGTCAGAAGCTACTCATAGCTCCAAACAGGCCTGCAGGGAAATCAAGATTCATAGGGCCAAGAGGCTGGGTTAGAGGGGGAGCTAGCAAAGGAAGTGCTAAGGTGTGAACACAGGTGTGGCCCACTCAGAGCTCCATCAGTCATAACCCCCACCCCAAATGCCTTCATTTCCTGGGTGGTACAAGATGTGAAAATTCATTTGAGTAAGAACTGCTCTACTGTTTGTTTTCTGAAACTCAGTAGTTTTCAAATGAAGAATAGTTTGTCTGCACGATGAATTTTGAGTAATTTGGCACCTTTGCATTATAAATTCGTTAACATTCTCTACAATATACTTAAAACTCACAAAAATTCCAGTAGTAAAGTTTGAGCATCTCCGTCATTGGAAAATTAAGAAAGGAAGACACCCAGAAGCCAGTGGCATTCAGTGGGTGGGGTTGAAGTGCCTCCTTACGCTGCACCGCCTCCCCACATTTACTTTAAGTCTCTAGAAATCTAATTATGAATACTGCCTCATATTCTTTCAGGTTTCTGCCATTTTCTTCTTACCACAAGAAAAAGAAGTATGTCCCATTAATACATTCTTCAAGCAAGTACGGTCCCTCTTCATATGGCCAGAAGCACTTCCGAAGTGAAGACCCCAGAAGGTGGATCTGTGGCAAGGTGAGTTCACGAAGCACTAGGAGATGGCATTCCCTTTTAAAGGCTGAAAACGGACATTGCTGATAGTGAAGGTAAATGTTCTCATTACAGTCAGGACTACAAAATCATTTATAGCTGTTTTTGTAAAGATGGTGCAGCAGAGGTCTGTCAAGGAGAGATTTGAATTTTATTATTTCTTCCTCCTCCTCATTAGTTTTTTTGAGAATTTCATACAATGTATTTTAAACATATTATCCACCCCCCCT